CGAATTCATGTTTTCAGAAAATATCACCCATGCAAAACAATCATCATTACATATACAAAAAGTAATTAAATACATCTTACGGAAAAAAAAACAACAAAAAATCAAAACCTAAAACAAACGTTATTTTCTTCCAAAGCAAAAATATATATATATATACATCTCATTTCAGAATGAAACTATAACCAAGTCTGTCACGTTCTAACCTCTTGAACTTCTGCTGAAAGCATAAAAAATGATTTATTTTAATGCCTGTCAAAATATTTCCTGTCTTTTCGATGAAGCATGAAAAATTAAGAGAGAATATTGAGACGCAGTTTCGTCCATAAATAAGCACACCCCGACCAACAGATTTTTTTTTCATAAAATTTACTTCTAAATCAGGATTTTATTATTTCTATTGGAATATTATGCAATCAAAACGGATATTATTAGGCATTATTTATTACCAACCTCTACAATACTGAAAATATGACCACGGAGCAGTCCAAAAATAAGTACGCTCATGCCAAAGATGTTTATTTGATTCTATGCCTTAAGCATATTCACAACCCAAGATTTTTTCTTGTAGAGCATTAAAATAAATATAATATAAATAAAGCACACAATTCGAGAGACCATTTATATTAAGTCCAAGCAGCCTTTCCTCTGTAAGTAGAAGAAATAGCTGCTGTGTTTAAATGTAATATGTGATTTACACTGCTGATTCTCTGGTCGTATTTTTTCTTATTTTCTTTAGTCGTTGTACACATATTTGCATACTTTTGTCCTCGACTGGCTCCAAAGAGGAAGGAGCGTTAACTGGTGAGACGTTTTTCTTGATTCTTTTTTACTGTTATATTTTTTGCTTCACTGCTTTTTTTTTCTTTAAAAAAAACAAACAAACTTCTTTTGTTTCATTTTAAGGCCTCCAAAATAAAACTGCATTCATTAAGCACCACAGAGAACCCTTCTTGTGTGACAGGTGCGAAAGTCCAGGAGCGCAACAATTTGCACCTTCTTGGCATCATGTTTTCCGCTAACATGAAGCGCAGCGACAATATCGAATCAATTGCTGCATCTACTGCTCGGAAAATTAGTTCACTGTGTCGTGCTCGAAAAACCTTTCATGTCTGAATCCACCCAGAACATAAATCTACCATTCGTGCGTGCACTGAATACTATTGCCATATTTGGTCTGGTGCTCCTACTGTACGTCTGTAATGTAATAGATCTTGTCCAGACATCTCATCTTTAGTCCATTTCTCATCGACGTGACGTGGCTTCCCTCTGTCTTTTCTACAAATATTTTTATGGCAACTGATCTGATGAACTTTTCACCCTGCTGCCTCAACTACATGAATTTAAGCGTGCTACTAGATTGGCAACTAGGTCTCACCGTTTTCTACTCTAACACTTTTTCTTTTACATCCCACCTTCGGAACTCTCTCCAGATTTCTTACTTTCCTGACAACTACAATCTTCAAAGATTTAAATGCAACGTCAATCGCCATCTGTCATCTTGAACCTTTTATCTTTTCTTTCATCCTCCACATTCTCAGTCTTTTCGGCCTGCCATCAGTATGGCTGATGCTAAACTCCAGGAGAGCAACACGCCTTCTTGGCCTCACATCTTTCCACAGACATGACGTGGGGCGACTATATTGAATCAATTTCTCCGGTTACTGCTCGGAAAATTTGTTCACTGTGTCGTGCCCGAAAAAGAGACAGCTACATTTAACTGTTTCGACAGTAAAAGAGTGGGACCGAGATGCCAAACTAGTAGCACTTTTAAATTCATGCAGTTAGAACACCAGTGAAAATAGCTCGTCAAAGTAGTTACTATGGAAATATTTGTAGAAAAGACAGAGGGAAGCCACCTAATTGATTCAATATAATCTTTCCATTTCATGTCAGCGGAAAAAAAAGACTTGCTGTTACTCGATTCCCAGCGTTTAACATTAAGATATTTCGGGTATAACAATGAAAATATAATACTACTACTACTAATAATAATAAAATCTTAAAAGGCCGTGAAGTAACAATGATACAATTAACTGTATGTCAGGCTCCAGAAACTACATTTCGAAGAAAGAATAGGTTAGCATCTAATATCGTGCTTATAAACTGAAAATAGAATATTTTGAATAAACATTGCGTGTGTTCGACAACAGTCCAGGATACAGCATTATTTAATCATGTTATTCCAATAAATTTAGAAAAAATTATTTCGCTTGTTACGCTACAAAATAAATAGTTTTTTTTTTTAAACCAACAAAATAATCAACCATATATTATTGACTTCCCATTGGCTACATATAAATATAGTCACAACAGGAGGGTTTCGGCGATCGATAGACCATTTCAATAAACGTTAAGATATATATATATATATATATATATATATATATATATATATATGGAATTTGTAAAGGAGAAACAAACGCAGAACATGGTAAACCAAAATAGTTTTTGATATTTTTTAAATATAAAATTATATTTTTAACTTTTAGGAGACACAGAATTTATACTGAAGCAATGTAAAAAAAAAAAAGGGAAAAATAACTCATTTAAACATTTGGATCTCTTCAGGAACTTCGACGTGACGTTAACGAGATTATGGTAGATCATAATGAATAGTGAATTCAATCCTCACTTGGTGCTCTATATTTGTTTTTTTTCTTATATAATGTAGGGTAATGTTTAGCGAGCTCAGCAGGTTAAACATTGTGATGAGTTCGATCCTTACTGGGTGCTTCTTATTTATTTTGTCTCCAAAACTAAGTTTATATATTTTTTAGTGTTGGGTGCTAATTAGCGAGATAGATTTCTTTAACGTTATTCGTGTATGGAAAATTCGATCCACACTGAGTGTTTCATACTTACGAAAGAAACTAAGTTTATTTATTTTGAAGGTAACACTGCGTAAGCTGATGGTAAGCGAAATCGTCTGGTCAACTATTATTATTGGGTAATGAGTTCGATCCTCATTGGGTGCCACATACTAGTGGTCATGTGCCTAAAACCAACTAAACAATAAGTCTTCTATCGATACATTATTTTGAGAGTTTATCGTTGATAAAACAAGAAAAATCATTGGATTTTCCACTTACGATGTAAACACACAGACAGTAAATGTTTATTGAACTACAGTCCAGTCCCTTGACTGCTGCTGTCGTTCCAGGTGGTAGTATCTAAAGGCAGAAGAAGATGAGGTTCCCTCCATGCTAACTTGCCTGCAGTCCGCATCGAAAATTGTCACATGATCATATCCTGTTAGAAGCTTTCGATACTCTCAACTTTGTTTAGCCTGGTACAAAGATACAGTTTGCTTACAATACCTGGTCTTCCAAAACGGTCACCAGTCAAGTATTAATCAGGTACAACGTTGCTTAACTTTGAAGATCTGTCTGAAACCAATATTTTAATCATGATTTAAAACGAAAACTAAGCTAAGTATTTCTCTACTTTGAATTAATTTGGCAAAAGTCAACAAACGTGAGACACTCAGTGAGGATCGAACAACTAAACAATGGCAACGGCCAGGTAAACTAGCTCATAAATCAATACTCCACGGTGATTAATGTCTAACGTGCTTTATTTGTTTATTTTTAAATGCCATGTCCTTTCAGGTGTGAGGCAATCATAACTCTACACAGATTCCTTTTCTTTATTATTTGTAAAGTGTCAATACCATGTCCCTTCAGGTGTGAGGCAATCATGACTCTCCAGAGATTCTTTTTCTTTATTATTTTTAAAGTGTCAATACCATGTCCCTTCAGGATTCTTTTACTTTATTATTTGTAAAGTGTCAATACCATGTCTCTTCAGGTGTAAGGTAAACGTGACTCTCCATAGATACCTTTTCTTTATTATTTGTAAAGTGTCAATACCATGTATCTTCAGGCGTGAGGCAATCATGACCCTCCGCAAATTCTTTTGCTTTATTATCTGTGAATTGCCATGTATTCTTGAGTTTCCCTTCCTTTAGACTGATTACCCCCCATTGCTAGAAAGCTAAGTTTACCCTGCTGCTTAATCCATATTTGGGTCTAATGAGTTTACTTCATTTGATTTACCAAACTTAAAATTTACTGTCACAGCGCATTAATAGCGGTGCACACTTTGAGAATCGAACTCACACACTAAGTAATCAAAATGTGAGAGGGAACGTAATGTTCTGTTGTGTTCATTTTTAAACACTTCAAATCACCGTGACATATATTCCTACATGAGTAGAAATTTAGATAACCTTTAGAAATGTTTATCGGGATCACTTTCATTCAATTTTCTTCTCCAAGTACCTAATAAAGGAAGCTTTTCGGGGAAAAATAACTAATTTCGAAGTGTATTTTTATTTAGGATAGAAATAACGGGTTAATTAAGCAAAGTATTATCATCAAAGACGTTCAGGCTCCGTTATGTCGGCAAGAAGGAATAGAAGTTAGAATCCGCCTTGGGAAGAATTATCCTTCCATTGACTGGCATTGGTTTAGTCTCAGAATCAGTGGTCACATTCCGTACGTCGGCCATGTGAAGCGATGCGTGAAAAAAGGATTCCCCTCTACCGCCGCTATTTTTTTTTAGATCCAACCGCAAAATAACTATTTCGACTCCATAGACAGAAGATCAGGACAATACTGGCCAATAAGATATGGCATTAAGGAGAGTAAAGACAACTGAGAGCGAATGGAAGATGCAATCTGAGAGAGATTTTTTTCTGGAGGGGGTGATAACAGGGGAAATTATATTGAAAACGGATAATCGAAGCAATCTCAGTGGACATTAAATACACGAACATTGATTGACCTTCCGACCTTGTGAACCTAAAGGCTTGCCATTCGAGATCGTCCATGTGTGAAGAGAATGCACGTTGGGCCGTGATTTCGAATGATTCGTTGATGATACGCTAATGATAAATCTGGGCGATTCAACGTCTGCTTTTGTGAATGGGCATTCACCATTCTGTTTCGACGGGGGGAACACTCGCAAAGGAAAAGCAGTTCACAATTTACACTGGCTAAATGCATATCTATTTCTACTCCTTCAAACTTGTCACTTTCAGCTTCTTATTCTTCTTCTTCAACAATTCTCCCTTTTTATTTCGTCCAGTTTTGCCTTTTTCCTTCACTTCCTTATAATATTTTTTCCTTTCCTTCCTTCTTTCCTTATAATGTTTTTCTTTCTTTTCTTTCCGTCCTTATAGTGTTTTTCTTTCCTTTCCTTCCTTCCTTATAGCTTATCTTCCCTTTCCTTCCTTGTAGTGTTTTTCTTTCCTTTCTTTCCTTCTTTCCGTACTTATAGTGTTTTTCCTTTCCTTCCTTCCTTCCTTATAGTCTTTTTCTTTCCTTTCCTTCCTTCCTTCCATCCTTATAGTGTTTTTCTTTCCTTTCCTTCCTTCCTTCCTTCCATCCTTATAGTGTTTTTCTTTCCTTTCCTTCCTTCCTTCCTTCTTTCCTTATTTGTTTTTTTCTTTTTTTTTCTTTCCTTTTATTGTTTTTTTTCCTTTTCTTTTTCCTTTCATTCCTTTTAGTCTTTTTTTCTTTCCTTTTTTCCTTATTTCTTTCTTTTCTTTCTTTTCTTTTCCTTCCTTTTTTTATAGTCTTTTTTTTTTTCCTTCTTTTTAGTCTTTTTTTCCTTTCCTTCCTTTTTCTTTTCTTTTTTTCCTTCCTTTTTTTTTTTTTTCTTTTTTTTTCCTTTCTTTCCTTCCTTCTTTTTTTTTTTTTTTTTTTTTTCTTTTTTTTCTTCTTTTCTTTTCTTTCTTTTCCTTCCTTTTTTTTTTCCTTTTTTTTTTCCTTTTCTTTTCCTTTTTTCTTTTTTCTTTTCTTTTTCTTTTTTTTTTCTTATTTTTTTTTTTCTTTTTTTTTTTTCTTCTTTTCTTTATTTCTTTTTTCTTTTCCCTTTTTTTTTTTTTTCTTTTTTTTTTTTTTTTTTTCCTTTCTTTTTTTTTTTTTTCTTTTTTCCTTTTTTTCTTTTCTTTTTTCTTTCTTTCCTTTTTTTTTTCTTTCTTTCCTTCTTTTTTTCCTTTCTTTCCTTATTTTCTTTTTTTTCTTTTCCTTTTTTTTCCTTTTTTCTTTTTCTTTCCTTTTCCTTTTTTCCTTTCTTTTTTTTTCTTTCCTTTTTCTTTCCTTTCTTTTTATTTCTTTTTCTTTTTTTTTTTTTCTTTTTTTCTTTGTTTTTCTTTTCTTTTTTTCTTCCTTTTTTCTTTTTTCTTTTTCTTTTCTTTCCTTCCTTTTTTCTTTTTTTTTCTTTCCTTTTTCCTTTTCTTAGTGTTTCTTTCTTTTTTCTTTTTTTTTATTTGTTTTTTTTTTCTTTTTTTCTTTTTTTTCTTTCCTTCCTTTTTAGTCTTTTTTTTTTTTTCTTTCCTTTTTTTTTTTCCTTTTTTTTTTTTTTTTCTTTTCTTTCCTTCCTTTTTTTTTCTTTCCTTTTTCTTTTTTTTTCTTTTTTCTTCCTTCCTTTTTATTTTTTTTTTTTCTTTCTTTCCTTTTTTTTTCTTTCTTTTTTAGTTTTTTTCTTTTCTTTCCTTTCTTTTCCTTCCTTTTTTTTTTTTCTTTCCTTTCCTTCCTTATTTTCTTTTTTTTTCTTTTTTTCTTTTTTTCTTTCCTTATAGTCTTTTTTCTTTCTTTTCCTTCCATTTTTTTTTTTTTTCTTTTCTTTTTTTTTTTTTTTTCTTTTCCTTTTTTTTTTTCTTTTTTTTTTTTCTTTTCTTTTCTTTTTTTTTTTTTTTTTTTTTTTCTTTTCTTTCTTTTTTCTTTCTTTTTTTTTTTTTTTTTCCTTTCTTTCTTTCCTTTTTTTCTTTCTTTCCTTTTTCCTTTTGTTTTTTTTTCCTTTTTTTTCTTCCTTTCTTTTTTTTCCTTCCTTTTTTCCTTTCCTTTTTTTTTTTTTTTCCTTTCTTTTTCCTTTAGTCTTTTTCTTTCCTTTCCTTTTATTTTCTTTTTTCTTTTTCCCTTCCTTCCTTCCTTATTTTTTTTCTTTCCTTTCTTTTTTCTTTTCTTTTTTCTTTCTTTTCCTTTTTTTTCCTTCCTTTCTTTTTTTTTTTCCTTTCCTTTTTTTTTTTTTTTTTTCTTTCTTTTCTTTTCCTTTATTTTTTTTTTTTTCTTTTCTTTTCTTTTTCCTTCCTTTCTTTTTTCTTTTTTTTTCTTTCCTTCCTTTTTTCTTTTTTTTCTTTTCTTTCCTTTCCTTTTTTTGTTTTCTTTCTTTTTTTTTTTTTTCCTTTTTTTTTTTTTTTTCTTTCCTTTCCTTTCTTCCTTTTTTCTTTCTTTTTTCTTTTTTCTTTCCTTCCTTTTAATTTTTTCTTTTTTTTTCTTTTTTTTTCCTTTTTGTTTTTTTTTTTTCCTTTCTTCTTTCTTTCCTTTTAGTTTTTTTTTTTTTTTTCTTTCCTTTCCTTTTTTTGTTTTCTTTCCTTTCCTTTCTTCCTTTAAAATTCCTATTCTTTTTTTTTTTTTCTTTTCTTTTCTTTCCTTCTTCCTTCCTTATCTTGTTTCTTTTACTTTTTCCTTCTTTCCTTTAGTAGTTTTTTCCTTTTTTTTTTATTTCCTTTTTTTTTTTTTCCTTTTTCCTTTTTCTTTTTTCTTTTCTTTTCCTTCCTTTTTTTTTTTCTTTTTTCTTTCCTTTTCCTTCCTTCCTCTTAGTTTTTTTTTTTCCTTTTTTTCCCTTCCTTTAGTTTTCTTTTTCTTTTTTCCTTTTCCTTTTTTTCTTTCCTTTCCTTCCTTTTAGTTTTTCTTTCCTTTTTTCTTTTTTTTTTTTTTTTTTCCTTTAGTTTTCTTTTCTTTTCTTTCCTTCCTTTTCTTTCCTTTTTTCCTTTTTTTTTTTTTCTTTCCTTTTTCCTTCCTTATATTTTTTCTTTTCTTTCCTTCCTTCCTTCCTTATTTCTTTTTTTCTTTTCCTTTTTTTCTTCCTTCATTTCCTTTTTTCCTTCCTTTTTTTTTTTTCTTTTCCTTTTGTTCTTTTTCTTTTCTTTCCTTTCTTTCCGTCCTTGTAGTCTTTTCTTTCCTTTCCTTTCTTTCCTTCCTTGTAGTCTTTTTCTTTCCTTTCCTTCTTCCTTTATTGTTTTTTCTTTTTTTTTTTTCCTTTTTTTCTTCCTTTTCTTTCTTTTTTTTCCTTTCCTTTTTCTTTTCATTTTTTTTTTCTTTTTTTTCTTCCTTTTCCTTCTTCCTTCTTTTTTTTTTTTTTCCTTCCTTTAAGTCTTTTCTTTCCTTTTCTTTCCTTCCTTGTAGTTTTTTTTTTTTTTTTCCTTTCTTTGTAAGTCTTTTTCTTTTTTTTCCTTTTTTCTTTTTTTTTTTTTGTTTTCTTCCTTTTTCTTTTTCTTTCCTTTCCTTCCTTCCTTATAGTCTTTTTCTTTCCTTTCTTTCCTTCCTTGTAGTGTTTTTCTTTCCTTTCCTTCCTTTTTTTTTTTTTCTTTTTCCTTCTTTCCTTCCTTTTTTTTATTGTCTTTTCTTTCTTTTTTTCCTTTATAGTTTTTTTTTTTTTCCTTCCTTCCTTCCCAATTCTTTAGTTTTTTTCCTTTTTTCCTTCCTTCCTTTTTTTCTTTTTCTTTCCTTTTTTCCTTCCTTTCCTTATTTTCTTTTTTAAATCTTTCCTTTTCCTTTTCCCAATTTTCCTTTTTTTTTCTTTCCTTTAGATTTTTCTTCTTTCCTTTTTTTTCCTTTTCTTTTTTCTTTTCCTTCCTTTCAGATTTCTTTCCTTTCTTTTTTATAGTCTTTTCTTTTCCTTTCCTTCCCCTTCCTTCCTTGTTTTTTTTTTTTTTCCTTTTTTCCTTCCTTTTTTTCTTTTTCTTTTCTTTCCTTTTTTTTTTCCTTTTTTTTCTTTCTTTTTTTTTTTTAGTTTTTTTTTCCTTTTCTTTTTCCTTATATGTTTTTTTTTTCCTTTCCTTCCTTCCTTGTTTTCTTTTCCTTTTTAAATTTTTTTTTTCCTTTTAAAATTTCTTTTTTCTTTTTTCTTTTAGAAAATTTTCTTTTCTTTCCTTTTTCGCACTTCCTTTTTTTCCTTTTTTTCCTTTTTTCCTTTAGTCTTTCTTTTTTCCTTCCTTCCTTCTTTCTTTTCTTTTTCCTTTCCCTTCATTTCTTTTTCTTTCTTTCTTTCCTTCCTTTTTCTTTCTTTCCTTTCTTTTCTTTTTTTTTTTTTTTTTTTCTTTTCCTTTTTTTTTTTTTTTTTTCTTTTTCTTTTGTTTTTTTTTTTTTTTTTATTTTTTTTTCTTTCCTTTCCTTTTTCCTTCCTTTTTTTTTTCCTTTTTTTCCTTTCTTTCCTTTAGTCTTTTTTTTTCCTTTCTTTTCTTCCTTTCTTTTTTTTTCTTTTTTTTTTTTTTTCCTTTTTTTTTTAACATTTTTTTTTTTGTTTATAATTTTTTTTTCTTTCTTCCCTTTTCTTTTTTTTTTTCCATTTTTTTTTTTTCCTTTTTTTTTTTTTCCTTCCTTCTTTCTTATTTTTTTTTTTCTTTTCTATATTTTTCTTTTCTTTCCCATTCATTCATTTATTCTTTTTTTCTCTTTTTTTTTTTTTTTATTCTTTTTTTTTTAATCAGATATTTTTTTTTTCTTTTCCTTTTCCTTTTTTTTTCTTTTCTTTTTAATTTCCTTTCCTTCCTTTTACATTTTTTTTTTTTTCTTTTTTTTTTCTTATTATTATTTTTCTTTTTATTTTTTTTTTTTTTTCTTAAAATTTTCTTTTTTTTTTTTTTTTTTTTCTTTTTTTTTCTTTTTCTAGATATTGTTTTTTTTTTGTCAGGCTCTTCCGAAAGTTTAGTTTTTTATGATTTTTTAATCGTAAAAAATCGAAGAACGTTTTTCGGAATTTCTTTTCCTTTTTCTTTTCCCTTGACGAAAATTTTTCTTTTCCTTTCTTTTTTCGAACCAGGTTTCTTTGCACCTTTTCAGGAATTTCTTTTCTGTTTTTTTGTTTTTTAAAATTTACAGCACAATTTTGTAGTGTGTAATACGTTCTTTCTATGATGTCTTGAGATAGACAGTCCAAGGTACGAGCTATGTATCGGAGACATCAAAATTTTTTGCTACAAACTATCGGTGTAGTATGACAAAAGACATTTGAAGACGCATAAAAATTTCAAAAAATGCCTTTTAGAACCCAAAACAATGTAATAAGAGATAGGAACATTTCGTTAGCAACAAAGGAAAGAGTGCTTGTCGCGGTCGCCGATTATCCGCTCCTTACAAAGCCGACCTTGACCTTCACAACTCTCGATCTCGCAGATCTAGGTCAAGCAACAGGCCAGAAACCGGACGGCTAGTCCAATATCGTTGATGTCAAACCATACCTAGTACGCATCTGACTATGCTGAGCCATTCTAAACATCGGAAACCATAGACTATAATTTATTATCTACGGCCTTCTACTCCTCTAGCCAGGAGTACTTGAACAAATCTTTCAAAATATCCTTAGACACTTTTTTTCGCCCAAAAGGCAGCTCGGCCCGGAGGCCTGGATCAAAGTGTAGTACACTACCTTTGTGAACTTCCGGTGCTTTTTGTCGAGAGTGTTACTCTTCGGCGCGATCCCGTCTCCACGGTCGATCCGCCCTGGAAGGTGTAACACCTCTCTGACCGTCTTCGCCTGGTGATACACTCTGGCGCGATCCCGTTTCCGCGGTTGATCCGCCCTGTGGAGTTGTATCACTGGTCTGCCTTGGCCCTGTTTAGGGACTCCGTCTTCGCCTGGTGATACACTTTGGCGCGATCCCGTTCCCGCGGTCGATCCGCCCCGTGAAGTAGCATCACTGGTCTGCCTTGGCCCTGTTTAGGGACTCCGTCTTCGCCTGGTGATACACTTTGGCGCGATCCCGTTCCCGCGGTCGATCCGCCCTGTGAAAGCATCACTGGTCTGCCTTGGCCCTGTTTAGGGACTCCGTCTTCGCCTGGTGATACACTTTGGCTGTTCCCTTCGTTCGATCCGACCAATAGCATCACTTGGTCTGCCTTTGGACCAGCTAGGGGTTCTACGTTTCGACCAAACCTAAACTGCCGGGCCAGACCCACGTTCGCCGACCAATCTACGTTCACCGGGCCAGACCCTAAACCACCGGACCAGACCAGCTACGCTCACCTACCAAACCTAAACTACCAGGCCAGACCAACCATCTGACCAGACCAGCTACATTCGACCGAACCAACTACGTTCGCCTACCAAACCTAAACCACCGGGCCAGACCAACTACCGGACCAGACCAGCTACAATCGACCGAACCAGCTACGTTCGTCGATTAACCAGTTTTCGGACCACACCGATGTAAATGTGTGAATAAAAACGACACTTTTTTGTTCATAACAAAAACCTTTGCCTTTGTCCCGTCATTGTCTTGGCTGTTCACATTTATCGTATACTTAAAAACCTTTGGGGGGCGACATCCTACTCGGCCCCGCAACAAGTGGTGACTTCCCGACGTGAGACAGCTAAGTGATGATGGAGTCGGCTAAAAGTGATTCTTTGGACATGACGGCTGCGATCATACCTCTGCCTGCATACCACCATAATGCCAAGAACTGGTTCTTGCAGGTGGAATCCATCTTTTCAATGCTACGCATTACTTCACAGCGAGCCAGATTCGCGAATGTAATGCAGAAACTCCCATCTGATATGATGGACGAAATTTCTGATGTCCTCTCCGATTTGCGCGAGCATGAACCGTACGATCACTTAAAGGAAGCAATCCTCAAGCGAACCGGACGTTCCGAGGAAGATATGATCCAAGAGATACTGCGGAACGTCACTAGAGGCGACAAAACGCCATCCCAGCTTCTCAGATATAGGAGGAACCAGCTGGGAAAGCACAACGTATCAGAAAAGGTTCTTCGAGGTTTATGGCTGGAGCATTTGCCTAAATCTGTTGCACAAATCATCGCACCAATGACGAGAGCCACGCCTCTGGATGATTTGGCAGAATCTGCTGATCTTGTTTTTGCACAGTTCGACCACAGCGTTAACGCTGTTCGCGCCCCCGACATAGCGAAGCACGAACGCTACGAGCCTAGTAAAACGGAACGGGCGTTGGCCGACCTTCAACGGCAAATTCGGGAGCTCCAGATCTCCCTGCGCCCGCGGACGAGGACATCGACCCCATCTCGACGGAGACGAACCCCAGCCGAGAACGGCGAAGCGACCAGGGTGTTTGTTGGTTTCATCGCACATTCGGCGATGAGGCCAGGAATTGTAAACCTCCTGTACACACCCGTCGGCCCGGGGGAAACGAATAAACCGGAGAGTCGCGACGACTAACTCTTCCGGTGCCAACACGCAATGTCGTCTATTTTACGTTTGGGATCGACGGAACAAGTTGAAATTCCTGGTGGACACAGGTGCGGCCATCAGCGTGGTACCCCCCTTCAGAACGACCACACCGCTAAGCCCACCCTGATCAAACTACGAGCAGCGAATGGTTCCGCGATAGACACGTACGGAGAAAGGACCCTTACTTTGAATATCGGCATGCGACGCGATTTCGCGGACATTTACCGTGGCCAACGTGAAGGTACCCATCCTCGGCGCGGATTTCCTGGCGCATTACGCACTGGCGGTCCATATGAACCCTAGGACTCTGTCCGATACGACGACGAATCTCCGTGTCTTAGGTACCCCTACACGTCAAGGCTCCACAGGAATCAGCGTCGCAACATGCCATGGTCGCGAGTACTTAGATCTCCTGACGCAGTTCACGGATATAACGCTGCCACTCCAAGTAACGGCTTCAGGTGACCATCAGACTCAGCACCACATCAGAACCCGAGGTCCTCCGCACACTCCCATCCGCGACGACTCGCTCCGCACAAACTGGCGTACGCCAAGGAGCAATTCGACAAAATGCTCAGTGATGGCATCATTCGTCCTTCCGATAGCCCTTATGCCTCGCCACTACACTTAGTGCCTAAACCTGGTGGTGAAGAATTTCGGATATGCGTCGACTACCGGAAATTGAATGCATCGACCGTACCAGACCGATATCCTGTCCCTCATATCCATGATTTTGCATCCGGATTGATGGGGCTCGCATCTTCTCGAAAATCGACCTGACAAAGGCATACCACCAGATCCCCGTCGCTGCGGAAGACGTCCCAAAACGGCAGTCACAACACCGTTTGGCCTATACGAATTTCTAAAAATGCCGTTCGGTCTACGTAACGCTGCCCAGACCTTCCAACGACTCATAGACGAAGTCCTGCGCGGACTTCCGCATGTATACGCCTATATCGACGACATCTTGGTGGCCAGTACAGACGCCGATTCTCACAGACAACACCTGCGAGAAGTCTTCCAGCGACTCTCGCACTACGGCCTGAAGTTGAACCTGGACAAGTGCGTTTTCGGGGCGCCCAGCGTTGACTTTCTCGGGCACCGCACCGACGCAGACGGCATAGCACCTCTGCCAGACAAGATCAGCTCGATCCGGGACTTTCCTACACCGACGTCCATGAAGCAATTGCGACGTTTCCTCGGCATGCTCAATTTTATCGTCGGTTCATACCAAATTGCGCTACCATCCTCCAGCCACTGACGAACCTGCTGCAGAGAAGAAACAAGGACATCTCTTTGGAGGGAGATGCTCTGCACGCATTCCATACAGCGAAGGCTGCATTGGCGAATTATACCAGGCTCTCGCATATCAACGACGATCCAGAGACACGACTATTCCTGACAACCGACGCATCCGACGCTGGTGTGGGCGCGGTGGTTGAGCAAGTTCAACTCACAACGCGAACCCATCGCATTCTTTTCAGCCAAGCTTTCGCCAGCCCAGAGAAAATATAGCACCTTCTCCCGAGAGCTGCTGGCCATTTATCTGGCCGTCAGGCATTTCAGGCACTTACTGGAAGGTCGAGATTTTACCATCTATACCGACCATAAACCGTTGACAACCGCGATGAGTAACAACTCTGACAAGTATACAGCTCGCGAGATCCGGCATCTCGACTACCTGTCACAGTTCTCGACCGATATTCGTCACATAAAGGGGAAGGACAACGCCGTCGCAGACACATTATCGCGAGCGGAAATTCAATCTCTTCAGACCGGCGTCTTGGGTCAAGATTCCATAGCCGCTGAACAAAAATCCGACCCCACGCTGCAAGACGTCCTTTCGAATACTTCTTTAAAGCTTCGGGAGTTCCCTGCATCCTTCAGCGACGACACCCTGTACTGTGACACCAGCCTAGCAAGCCCTAGGCCCTACATCCCACCGACACTTCGGAGACAGGTATTCCAACATTTCCACGGGCTGTCTCATCCAAGTAAGCGAGCTACGGTCAAACTTATTACCGACCGATTCGTTTGGCCCAATATGAATGCGGACATTCGAGAATGGGTTTCCACGTGCATGGAGTGCCAGAAGTGTAAGGTCCACCGACACACTAAATCCCCCGTCGGCACCTTCAGCAGTCCTGATGCACGGTTCTCACACATACATGTCGACTTAGTGGGACCGCTTCCGATGTGTCAGGATTACCAGTATCTTTTGACGGTTGTGGATCGTTTTTCGCGGTGGCCGACCGCCATACCTATAAAAGACACTTCTGCTAACACAGTCTCTAGGACCATCCTGAAAGAGTGGATTGGAACTTTCGGCACGCCCCACGTTATCACGACCGACAGGGGGTCACAGTTCCAGTCGTCCCTTTTCGGAGTTTACCAACCTACTTGGCGCCAAGCACATAAAGACTACCGCTTATCATCCGTGCGCCAACGGCTTAGTTGAGAGGTTTCATCGGTCCCTTAAAACCTCCCTGGCCACTAGACCTGACACTATCAATTGGGTGGACGACCTACCTTTAATTCTCCTAGCATTGAGGAACACCGTAAAGGAGGATTTAGGTTGTTCACCCGCCGAACTGGTTTTCGGTACACCTCTTTGCGCTACCCGGCGAATACTTCGACGACTCCCTTCAGACGTTTTCAAAACCAACATCTCCTTTCGTCGAGGAACTCCGCCACAAAATGGCCCGGCTTAAATATGCAACTCCACGACAGCAACCGGTGAATTCGTACATCCTCAACACTTGCGAGATTGCAAATTCGTTTTCGTACGGAACGACGCCGTGAGACGACCACTCACGCCGGCATACCAAGGTCCTTTTCAGGTTCTTCGACGCACCGACAAGCACCTTACGATCAAGCGCGCCAACTCGACCGACACCATCGCAATCGATCGGACCAAGCCTGCTTTTCTGGAGAAGCGACAGTATGACGCAAACCCGGCTCTGCGGCCCCCTAATGCTATTCCAGCGCACCCATCAGACGCAGCACCGCAGACATCAAACGACACCCCAGCGACTCCTGTGCGGCAGACCCGATCCGGTAGGAGGGTCACTTTCCCTAAAGACCTTCGTAAATATTATTATTATTAATTGATACGATCAATTTTCTAGGGAAGGGCCTTGTCGCGGTCGCCGATTATCCGCTCCTTACAAAAGCCGACCTTGACCTTCACAACTCCTCGATCTCGCAGATCTAGGTCAAGCAACAGGCCAGAAACCGGACGGCTAGTCCAATATCGTTGATGTCAAACCATACCTAGTACGCATCTGACTATGCTGAGCCATTCTAAACATCGGCAAACCATAGACTATAATTTATTATCTACGGCCTTCTACCCTCTAGCCAGGGAGTACTTGAACAAATCTTTGCAAATATCCTTAGACACTTTTTTTTTCGCCCAAACTAGGCAGCTCGGCCCGAGGCCTGGATCAAAGTGTAGTACACTACCTTGTGAACTTCCGGTGCTTTTTGTCGAGAGTGTTACTCTTCGGCGCGATCCCGTCTCCACGGTCGATCCGCCCTGGAAGGTGTAACACCTCTCTGACCTACCTCGCCTGGTGATACACTCTGGCGCGATCCCGTTTCCGCGGTTGATCCGCCCTGTGGAGTTGTATCACTGGTCTGCCTTGGCCCTGTTTGGGACCCGTCTTCGCCTGGTGATACACTTTGGCGCGATCCCGTTCCCGCGGTCGATCCGCCCCGTGAAGTAGCATCACTGGTCTGCCTTGGCCCTGTTTAGGGACTCCATCTTCGCCTGGTGATACACTTTGGCGCGATCCCCGTTCCGCGGTCGATCCGCCCCGTGAAAGTAGCATCACTGGTCTGCCTTGGCCCTGTTTAGGGACTCCGTCTTCGCCTGGTGATACACTTTGGCGCGATCCCGTTCCCGCGGTCGATCCGCCCCGTGAAGTAGCATCACTGGTCTGCCTTGGCCCTGTTTAGGGACTCCATCTTCGCCTGGTGATACACTTTGGCGCGATCCCGTTCCCCGCGGTCGATCCGCCCTGTGAAGTAGCATCACTAGTTGCCTTGGCCCGTTTAGGGACCGTCTTCGCATTTCGGCCGAACCAACTACGTTCGCCGACCAATCCTAAACTACCGGGCCAGACCAGCTACTTTTCGACCAGACCAGCTACGCTCACCTACCAATCCTAAACTACCAGGCCAGACCAACTACATCTGACCGGACCAGCTACATTCTACCGAACCAACTACGTTCGCCTACCCAAACCTAAACTACCGGGCCAGACCAACTACCGGACCAGACCAGCTACAATCGACCGAACCAGCTACGTTCGTCGATTAACCAGTTTTCGGACCACACCGATGTAAATGTGTGAATAAAAACGACACTTTTGTTCATAACAAAAAACCTTTGCCTTTGTCCCGTCATTGTCTTGGCTGTTCATTTATGCCAAAAACGTATATTAAAAACCTTGCGGGGGCGACATCCTACTCGGCCCGTGCAACATGGTGAACTGACGTGAGAATATCTAATCGATGATGGAGTCGGCTAAAAATGATTTTTGGACATGACGGCTGACCGATCATTGCCTCTGCCTGCATACCACCATAATAAAAGAACTGGTTCTTAACGGAGGTGGAATCCATCTTTTCAATGCTACGCATTACTTCACAGCGAGCCAGATTCGCGAATGTTTGCAAAACTCCCCATCTGATATGATGGACGAAATTTCTGATGTCCTCTCCGATTTGCGCGAGAACATGAACCGATTTTTCAAAGCGAATTCAAATCAAACAACCGGACGTTCCGAGGAAGATATGATCCAAGAGATAGAAGCGGAACGTCACTAGAGGCGACAAAAAATATTCCCATCTGTCTAGATTTATGAGGAATGAGCTGGGAATGTACACTATTTACATTATCAGAATTTGGTTCTTCGAGGTTTATGGCATTAGCATTTGCTTTCAAATCTGAGTTGAGCAAATCATCGCACCAATGACGAGAGCCACTTTTTTCGCTCTGGAGGTGGTTGGAATGTTGAACTTGAACCTTTATTTCGCTCACTGGGATAGACTGTTCTAGTTTCACGTGGACATGTTTAATGGATGTCAGTGAGTTATCTCCTGTTAAAACCTCTCTCAAATTCTCCACTGCCTTAACGGGGTATTGAACTCAAAGACCTGTGCCAGCGGACGAAGAATCGAAATAAATACAATATGGGACCAAATAATAACGGAGTGCCAGAGAAAAAGGATAATAACAACAAAATTGCGATATGAGCTCTGAATAAAAAAATAATGTGATAATAGCAAAAAATTGAATAAATCAGCACTGGACTAAAATGGGGTGCCAACACTTTTAGGTTTATAAATGTTTGGGATTCACGGAAACAAGCTGTCTTAAGGTTAACATGGCACAGTGGACAAAGGTGCCCCTTAGAACGACCAGTGACAGGACCCCCAGATCAAAGTTCAATAGAACTTGGAGAGGGCGATTAACACGTACGGAGAAAACCCTGACATCCATTAGATTGGCGCGATGGAAAACATTTACCAGTGGGAAATAAAGGTTCAGTTCGACATTCCTGTCCACCTGAAGAAGGCTGGAGGTACAATGGCTGAAACGTTTAATAAAATATCCGATAAGACGAGGAATCTAGTGTCTTAATAATAATGAAAATAGTCTAAAGGAATTAGCGTCGCAACATGCCATTGATTTTACTTAGATCTCCTGACGCAGTTCACGGATATAACGCTGATAAAACAATAACGGAGGGAGGTTGAACCATAGAAAAACAGTAATACGAAATACATTTAACCCGAGGAATTTCCTCTATCACCCATCATGGATTCTCGAGGGATATAAATGGACTATATAATATATATATATATATATAAATATAAAAGTTGGATGATGATTTGTCCTTGGGATAGCCCTTTGCGATCGTCAGACAAACTGATAAATGTTTTAAAAATTTGGATTTATGTACAGATTGCGTGTATTGGTGTTATTTGGAAGTGGTGGGGAAACTTCGTCGTTTTGTCATTCATCGTACTTTTGCAAACATCGATGTATGCAGACACATATAATACTTGTCGTCCGTCGGGACTCATACATATATAAACATATGTTGGGCAGTTTCGGATATGACATATGTATGTATACGGGTGGTGTTGTGTCTATACATACGCATTTGTATATTGAAATTTGAAATATAAAAGATTAACATATTGACTTTTTGTCTCGTGAATGTATATATATATATTATATATTTTTATATATAAATATATATTGCGGGGCATATATATATATACGTTCAGTATTTGTATAAATTATGAGAGGTATAAATTATTATTATTTATTTTTATTTTTAAATTTTTGAAAAAATGGGGGTTTATTTGTTATATTAAAGCCGGTTATTTGTTTGTTTTTTGGTCTGTGTATATGTAACAAATCGTTTTTCATAATCCTTATTGGTTACCATATATTTAGCCACGTTATTTCAAAATTTACTTTAGAATACAAAAATTTACATAATTCTAAATTTTTTAAAAAACTTAATCAGTTAATTGACGATCGTCCGTTTTGAAACCCAGGGTAACAAACTCACATCTATCCAAAAATATGTTAGCTCTATTTTCTGATATTGAGCGCTTTCTAATAAGTATATGAATATATTATATAAATAATACACTTTTCACACAACACAACAACCCTTATATATATATTTGTTTATTCATTCAGTTGTATGGATATCTGTTTTAAAGTGGGTTTCATTTTTCTTTTTTAATTATATATATATATATATATATATATATATATATATATATATATATATATATTTCTAATTTTTTCATTTATTATTGTAATTTGAGGAAGTCGATTATTAATGAGGGTTTTTTCCTTTTTTTTAATTCAGTTTAGAAAATCTTTTGTTCAAAAAAAAAGAATTTGATTTTAAAATGTTTATTAAGTTTCGTATAATAGCTATTTTATAATAGAGAATTCACTTTTATAGTTTAGAAGAAATGCATGTGTTTATACCTGTTGTTGTTTTTTGTTTTTTTTATAAAGTTTGGTTTGTTTTATCAAAATTATAAACATTTTGGTTATTTAATGCCGACAAGAATTTTATTTGCTGAATTAAATTTTTGTTCAAAAGTGTATTACTGGTAATAATTTTTTTTTTCGAAAATTTATTGCTGGCAAAACATAAAAAAAATGTATTACTGGAATTAAAACCTATTTTTATACTTTCATAGTGTTTTGATTTTTGTTTTTTGGAAATTTAAAATTTGCCCATAGCTGGGACCCTAAAAGAATTACCACCCGGGTCAAAGGACCTTGGGAACACCAGCAACTAAGAGGTGGTTCCACGTTCCTCAAAACCTCCTGATCAGAGGCTTTTTTTTGAGGTGTATTTTATCGTCTTACCCAGGAAAAGATTTTTTTATGAGGTTAGCTAGTAAATGTATTATTATTCCTACTATCTATCAATACATCTAGGAAGGATTTTTTTTGTAATTGTTAAATTCATATGTGAACTTAAGTACAGAGTTTTTTTGAAAGTTGGAATAATAATATATTTACAGTATGAATAATAATTGATTTATTATATATAAGAGAAAGAATTTAAATAAAAGATTATATTATTTTACAAAGGGATCTAAAAAAAATCAACTAATATCATTGCATTAATTAATAACCCTAATGAGTCTGAAAAAAAAAATTTAAAAAAAAATGTTAATGAAATTAAAAAGAGGAGAATTGCAACTAATCCGAAAGTGTATAAGAAAAAGCTTTAATCGTTAAATCAAGAGAAAGAAAGTAAATTTGCAGAATTATTATCACAATGTGGGATACTTAATAAAAACTCCATAAAATATAATCAAGAAGCAACTAAATTAAATTAGCTAGAGTATATGGTGTATTCGGTGGAGGAGAATTTTATTCATTCGGAGGAGGGGCGTAAGAAGTATTTGATAATTTGCGGCAAAAGCGCTTAAAAACAGTTTTGATCATGTTTTTTTCTTTTTTTCATGGTTAGTTCTCTTTAAGGAATTGTAAATGTAGAACTTCCTTACACTTAAGTAAAATAATAAAAATATTAATAATATTTATTAAGAATTAATTACAGGAAATATTAAGTTTTACGGAAACATTGTCGACAATTGTGTATTTAGTTATACATAATTTTAAATAAAAAAAAAATAATATAAATTTTGATGCTATACTAGATTTGTTTTTAGGAAATTTTTCATTTTCTCCTTTGTTATAAAACAGCATTTTAGAAATATTTTGGCTGCAATGCTAATTTTTTTTAATTTGAATATTATTTATTTCGTTTACGCTTTGTTAATGTAATTTTTTCCATTCTTGTTTTTAGATCGCTTTCTACATTTTAGTGGGCAATAGCGAAATTCTGAAATTTAGATTGTTTTTATTCCATTTCAAAAATAAAGCCTGCAAAAGGAAATATTCTAAACTGATGTACAACCAAATAAAAAAAAAATACTTTTGACAAAAACAAACAAACAAAAAACTTAATGATTTCACAATAATTATTCCATAGAGGGTTTATGTTACCTCATCTCGTTTCATAGTTACGAACTATAAACCTAAATTGAGGCTGAAATATTGTGTAATCGGCTTTAATTTTTTGTAAAATACTTGTTCAACCAACGCTTTCAACCACTGAGAACATCAGTGTATTAATTTTTGAGAGCTATAAAATTAATGTCCCAGTAAACATTTTTTACCAGAACTCATATTGCAATTTTTGCTGTTATTAATACTTTTCTCTGGCACTCTGTATGGCTGGTTCCCATATTGTATTCATTTCTATAATTGGCCGGTTTAGGAGATTTTTGCAGCCTAACATATGTGATGATTCCTTAAGTTTACGTATTTTTCTCATGATGTTCTCTGTCTATTATTTCATCCTCACCCTACGCGGGGTCGTGATCTCCCTTTTCCCTCCATATGTGATCACCTACGCCTGATTTTTCTATTTCACCTCGTGTTACGGTTTTACGGTGTTACGGTGTTCTTGCAGTCTTACATTAATGTAGCGTCCGGTTTCTCCATTATATTTCTTACCACATCTGCACGGGAAAATTACAGACAGTTTTTAGTCATATTCTCCTATATGAGTTCTTACTCGGAATAGGTTTATTACTCTATTTAGTGTGGCCAATAGTCAACTATCCATATAATTCTTCACATTACATTTTGGACTTATAACTGGATTCTATTGCCATTTATTGAAGTATAGCGTATATGTTTGGCATTGTTGGTGATAATGGAGAGCCCATTTCTATGCCTTCATCCTGTCGATATATGTCGAAACACGAAGGTCGTTCTAATGCTATATGGACCACAGATCATTTGTAATTTCTCCGATAATCCTTTCACAAAGAAAGAAATCAGCCTGCCTAACCTGAGTGTTGTTATCCGCTTGTACTTATAGTGTATTCGTCTCTTCTGCCATGTACCTGATATTTTGTTACTTGTATGTTACTGCTTATACTAACCATTTTATTTGTTCACATGTCTTGGGTCGCGATTTTTTTCGAGGTTTGTTAGCAGCGGACGAGAATTTTTAAACATCATATGAGTGGTGAGAGTTAAGTTGAGGTATTTTCCGGTGAATGTTGGCTTGCGGTATATGGATGTCTTGAACCCATGCTCTGTTCGTGATATTAGTACATCCAGGAAGGCGAGTTTGCTGTCGTTTTATATCTCTATCGTGAATTGTATCGATGATTATTGAGTTCACATGGTCCAGTAGTCGCTGGACCTTCTCCTAGCGTGGCCAGAATATGAAGATGTCATCTACTTATATCAGTCATGGAGTTGGCTTTAGTGATGTGGATTCTAATGCCATTTCTTCGAAGTACTCCATGTATGTTTGCCATTGCTGGTGATAATGGCGATCCCATTGCTAAGCCTTCATATTGTTGATATATGTCTGATCCCATTCTGAAGTGTGTTGTTTGCGCACAGAAAGTCAGCATCTCCATCAGGTTACCTATTGGTATACTGTTACATTCTTCTAAGGATAAGTCCGAGTCCAATATGTCCCTGACTACCGATAGTGTCTCCTCCGTGGGTAACTTGGTGAACAAAATCACCACCTTCAGGTTCTCCATCTGGTTAGATTGGATGGGAGCATCTTTATTTTCACGAAGTGGGTGGAGTTTCGGACATATGGAGATGACTTTCATATTAATGGGTCAATAATATATACGAGGAAGGGGCACAGAGGTTGTCACACAGAGCCTTGACAGCTAACAATTGGCCTGAGTTGAATACAGTGTTTGTGAATTTTGGGGAGACTGTATATATGACAAATTTTGTTGACAACCTCTCCTGTATGTCTTAGGTTACAATGATGGTCCTTGTTCTTGATTAGGATCTGCGACAGTGAACGTTCTCTGAGTTTAAATTAATAGACAGAGAACTTTTTTGGAAAATACGCAAACTGAAGGAAATATAAATGGAAAGGTATTTTAAAAAAAATCCCCTATTCTTAAAAATAGAAATGAATATAGGAACCAGTAATACGGAGTGCCAGAGAAAAGCAATAATTGCAATATGAACTCTGGTAAAAATGATTACTGAGACATTAAGTTTATAAGTCCCATATATTCATACATTGATGTCCTTTGATTATTTCCACGGGGTTCAGAGATATAGAGGTAACTTTCTTATTAATGGGTCAATTATCTCTAAAACAGTAGATAACAACACTGTTTTCAAATCTACATATCTCTTATTCTAACCGTTTCTCTTGTGATTGACTGTCCGTAGTTCTACATTTCCACCAACGGCTCTTTAATGACGATACTAGAATGCAACCTGAACATATAGCTCAATGACTGAAATTCCCTATATTCTAGTTAAATTGATTGATTTGTTTTACGGTATATCAACCTCAATGTATTATTTAATGTCGACAAAATTTTTATTGCTGGCAAAAAAATTATTTCTGGCATTAAAATTTATTTTAACATTTTCATAGTGTTTTGACTCCAGTTTTGGGTGTTAACTATTTGCCCATAGTTGGGACCCTAACAGGTACTACCACCCAGTAAGGGTGTACCTGGTAACATCAGCAATTAAGAGGTGGTTGCACGCACCTCAAAGCCTCCTGATCAGAAGCCTTGCTGTTGGATATAGTTTATCGTCTTACCCAGGACGATATTCCAGTTGAATCCTTGTTGTAGTGTCTTGCGTCTAATGAGTCTATTGTGGACTCTTCCACTTACTATAAAGTAGTATGAAAAGTAAGCCTCGGGGGGAACAGTGATAGACTGTTCTTCCGAGGCTGTGACTGTTCGCAGCTCCCGTCGAACGCTCTGCCTTGGGCAGAGAGGGACCCGGACGAGGCTGTGCCGAGAGGCGGAGTTTCGTTCGGGGAGATAGACAGACCCGAACCCGTTTATGCGGGTTTTACGGTGATTTTTTTTTGCCGAGCCTACGGGCTCGGATGACCGACGTTAAACTCGGCCTTGCGCCACATATATCCCCCGTGGGGGGTCTCTTAAATATTAAAAGGGATATAGACTGAACGCTGGTCACCTGATACACGCTCCCAAGTCGTATAACCCACTTCTGTTGTATTTATTGTTCAATACGCTATTTATTTGCAACATCTTGTTTTGTTATTTCTTAACCAATAACTTGGTCACAACACTCCTGAAAGGTTTATTTATTTATTTTACATTATTTCCTTATTGCCTACTTGTAGAGAGCTTGTGGTTGTTTTGAAATCCTCTCGTCTAATTTAAAAGAAATAAAAAAAATAAATCGAAATTTACCCCAAGGAAGTCAGTAAAGCGACTAATGCTCATGGTGTTATTGGATCTGGATGAATTAGAAAACAGAAACATTACTAAAGAGCGAGAACATTAGAAGAGTAATCAGGAAGAGGGTAGACAACAGTTGACAAACTGTAAAGAATGCAACCGGAAGAAAATTCTACAAGCGTAAAGTGCTAGAATAGAAATTGTTAGCAGAGAACTTCCGGTTACACCTCAACACCTTACATTTCAACTATAAATTGATAACATCTCGTTGCCAATCTAGTACTGCGCTTAAATTCATAAGTCGAGGTAACATAGAGAAGAGATCAATTACAATGAAAGTATTTATAGAAAAGACACAGGGAAAGAGCTGATCTATAGTGTCAGAACATTTTCTTTCTTTTCTTTGTTCCAATATGTTTAACATTTTATCATTAATATTCATTATTCATTCCCTAAACATTTTCCTTTTTATTTACTCTCATCTTAAACATATCTTACATTTTTCTCTCTTGATCATTTTTCAGTTTATCTTAATTGTTCTTATTCTTTCTCTTGATCAGTTCTTTGCTTTTACTATATCTCAATTGTTCTTTTTCTTTCTCTTGATCTGTTCTTTGCTTTTACTACATCTCAATTGTTCTTTTTCTTTCTCTTGATCAGTTCTTTGCTTTTACTACATCTCAATTGTTCTTTTTCTTTCTCTTGATCAGTTCTTTGCTTTTACTACATCTCAATTGTTCTTTTTCTTTCTCTTGATCAGTTCTTTGCTTTTACTACATCTCAAGTGTTCTTTTTCTTTCTCTTGATCTGTTCTTTGCTTTTACTATATCTCAAGTGTTCTTTTTCTTTCTCTTGATCTGTTCTTTGCTTTTACTATATCTCAATTGTTCTTTTTCTTTCTCTTGATCTGTTTCTTTGCTTTTACTATATCTCAAGTGTTTTTTTCTTTCTCTTGATCTGTTCTTTGCTTTTTACTATATCTCAAGTGTTTCTTTTTCTTTCTCTTGATCTGTTCTTTGCTTTTACTATATCTCAAGTGTTCTTTTTCTTTCTCTTGATCTGTTCTTTGCTTTTACTATATCTCAAGAGTTCTTTTTCTTTCTCTTGATCTGTTCTTTGCTTTTACTATATCTCAAGTGTTCTTTTTCTTTCTCTTGATCTGTTCTTTGCTTTTACTACATCTCAATTGTTCTTTTTCTTTCTCTTGATCTGTTCTTTGCTTTTACTACATCTCAAGTGTTCTTTTTCTTTCTCTTGATCTGTTCTTTTGCTTTTTACTATATCTCAAGTGTTCTTTTTTTTTTCTTGATCTGTTCTTTTGCTTTTACTACATCTCAAGTGTTTTTTTTTTCTCTTGATCAGTTTTTTTGTTTTTACTACATCTCAATTGTTCTTTTTCTTTCTCTTGATCTGTTCTTTGCTTTTACTATATTTCAAGTGTTCTTTTTCTTTCTCTTGATCTGTTCTTTGCTTTTACTATATCTCAATTGTTCTTTTTCTTTCTCTTGGTCAGTTCTTTGCTTTTACTACATCTCAATTGTTCTTTTTCTTTCTCTTGGTCAGTTCTTTGCTTTTACTATATCTCAATTGTTATTTTTCTTTCTCTTGGTCAGTTCTTTGCTTTTACTATATCTCAATTGTTCTTTTTCTTTCTCTTGATCTGTTCTTTGCTTTTACTATATCTCAATTGTTCTTTTCTTTCTCTTGTTTGGTGCCAAGAATTTTTTACTATATCTCAATTGTTCCTTTTCTTTCTCTTGGTCAGTTCTTTGCTTTTACTATATCTCAATTGTTCTTTTTCTTTCTCTTGATCTGTTCTTTGCTTTTACTACATCTCAATTGTTCTTTTTCTTTCTCTTGGTCAGTTCTTTGCTTTTACTATATCTCAAGTGTTCCTTTTCTTTCTCTTGGTCAGTTCTTTGCTTTTACTACATCTCAATTGTTCTTTTTCTTTCTCTTGGTCAGTTCTTTGCTTTTACTATATCTCAATTGTTCTTTTTCTTTCTCTTGATCAGTTCTTTGGTTTTGCTAGAGAGTGCGCTGCATAAACTGTTGTCGAAAAAACGCAAAAATGATAATGACACTGACATCTCATTTTAAGGGATACATTTACCAAAATTACACAAAAATATCTTAAAATACAAAAAAGTAAATTTATTCCATAAAATCGCCATTGGCTTTTAACCACGGACTCTTGGTGTCTTCAGATTTTCCTGCAACTCTTCTGGACCTTCTCCGTGGTTGAGTTGTAGAATGCTGCCATAATCTTTGTCTTCATTGGTGTTACAAAACGTACTGCTGGTCTTTCGCTCAACATCGCTCCACACATTGTAATCAAGTGAGTTGCAGTCTGGAAAGTTAGGTGGCCAGACTTAAGGGGTGATGTAGTCGCAGAAATTGTCTAACAACCATCAATTGATTCTCCTGTTTTGTAACATGGTGCAGAATCCTGTTTTCAGACAGAGTGTCTTTCAGTAAACACCCTCTTGACTCAGAGCAGCACTAACTCTTCAAGGAACTTGATGTATGCCCCTGTGTTTAGCCTGAATTCCTCGCCAACAATTTCGGGAGTTCTTTTCTTATCAGAACGATCAGAGTGAGTATTCTGAGCTGCCGTACACACGTAATCACCATTAGACTCGTCCAACTCTTTCTCGATCCTCTGCACTTTCCTTAGAGTGACACCCAAATGCCAAGTAGTACAGCATGCCGTTTGCCAATTTCTGGTGGAATGAATTGCGTTATGCTGTTCCTTTTCTCACAGACTGTGCCCAACTGACCCTACTATAATGTGCAGTCGACAAAATAAAAAAATAAAAAATAGAAAAATAACATCTAGGCACGAAATTAAAAATATAAAATATTGACAATTTATCCATCGCATTCTGTATATCTTAATTCTTCTTTTGTTTTCTCTGGGCAATTCCTTTCCTTTTCTTTTTACTATATATCAATTGTCCTTTTTTTTTCGGTATTTTTTTAACTTCCATTATTTACTAGATTTTTTGAGATTCGTCATCTTTTATTCCCTTGTTACCTTTCATTTGTCTTCTTTTTTTTTACCTTTTCCTGCTTCGCATGATTTCTCCTTTATTCGTCTATTCCTCTTTATGGTAAATTCACTCTACTGCAATGTCTGTCCAATAATGCAAAGTGTTTGATCTCTGACAGACACACGGACTCCACACAGCCACTTGAGAGTTATCCTATACCTTATTTATTCTAATTTCCGTCACAACCCATTACGCATAAAACCATACTTTTTATATTATATATATATATATATATATATATATATATATATATATATATATATTATTGAGGCATGTGTTATTAAAGAATACGAAACATTTCCGTTTAATAATCTTTCTTTCAGTTTTTGTTTTTCTTGCAAGTTACTTTATATTTGAGTCTAAGTTGTTGAAAAAAGACCCCATTCCTTGGCTTTTTGCCGAGCACTTTCGGTTATCGTCAACCGTTATCATGGTTGTATGTTTTGGTTTGAAGTAGGTTACTTTTTATTTTTATTTTTCATAGATAATATTTCGGGGTATTCAGGCATTGTTGTTGGATTAGTTTATTGGCAGGGGGGTGGTATTTATTCTTTCCATGATATATTTACCAACCTCTCCACAAGGTAAGATGTGGCACAGGGCCTAGTTTTAAAGTGGAAGAATCCGAACCCGTATAAAACGGGGTCGGATAGCTTTTTCCCGAGACGAGATTCTGTCCTTCGACAGAGCCTCGTCTGGGGATCCTCTCTGCCCGAAGGTAGAGAGTTTTACCAGCCCAGCTGGAAAAAAATTCCAGAGTTAATTAATATGTTTAAAAAACCAGAGTTATTTAATATGAGAGAGAGAGAGAGAGAGAGAGAGTAAAATTAAACGAGAAAGCAAGGCGATGAGAAAACACAAAACAATTCGGAAAAATTGAGTAGCCACGAAAAATGTTGGCAATTCATTAAAATCCAACTTTTTTATCAACATACTTAAAGTAAAATTTAATGATATAGTTAAAGTAAAAATTAGAAAAAGAAGCAGGAAATCATGTTTTGCCTTACTAACGTAAATTTTGTGTTTGTGAAATGAAATACATTTCTGATGGCGTTGGTCGTCAGTTTCTCTCTCAAATATATATATATATATATATATATATATATATATATGTAATGTGTGTGTGTGCGTGTAAATATATAGAAAAATAGGAAAGAACAAGTTAGGTAAATAATCCGAAGTTTTTTAGTATTTTTGTTTTTATTTTTAAAAAACAGTTAAATACAAAAGCAGAGACTAAATTATAATTATTTTTAAAAAAAAAATATGATTCCTTTGCCTCATGAAGGAACCATAGTTTAAAAAAATATATATATATATATATATATATATATATATATATAAATAAAGTATGTGTTTATATATATATATATATATATAAATAATATGTACATAATATATATATATATTTAAAAATTATATATATATATATATATATATATATATTATTTTTATAAATTTTTTAAATATTATATATATATTATTTTTATATATATATATATATATGTTTATATATATATATAATTTCTTTTAAAAACAATTTTTTCAAAAAAATAATATATATATACATATATAAATAATATATATATGGAATATTTTAAATATATATATATAATATATATATATATAAATAATATTTAAATATATATATATATATATATAAACAATATTTATATATATATATATATATATAAATAATATTTAAATAAAATATATATATATATAAATAATATTTAAATAAAATATATATATATATAAATATATTATATATATATATATATATATATAATATTTAAATATATATGTATTTAAATAAAAATAAAAAATGATGGTACAATTATAATAATAGTAATAGTAGTCAAACTAATAAATTATAAAATTAATGAGACACGAGAGAATAATCAAATATATGTCTACTAAGATTACAAATGTACCTATCTAATTTTATATAAGCATCTTTATACATATATATAAACAAACCTTTTAATATTATATCGCTAGTGGACCTGATTCTGGATAAAATTATATTTTATAAGCATAATATATATAATTTTGTATAATTATATTTTATACATTCAATTTCTAACATATAGAGAGCAATGATAACACAATTCAAACAAAAGTGTAATCAGGCAAACAACGCAATAAACACAACACCCACAAATAATATACATACAAGTACACAACTAGTTTTTCATACATACATATATAAACCAATATATACATACACCCATATACACATGTATATAAGTACACAATGAATAACAAATATATACGTTTATGGCAAAAAATAATAACTCCAAACGAACACAAAAACATTCTCATACTTGTATACACACACACACACACACATATATATATATATATATATATATATATATATATATATATATATGCACACAACAATAACCACATACATACATAGTGAAGCTCGGTGGAAGTGTCATTGGCATGAGGAGCATTACATATTCAGCTCGCTTCAGGTGAGTTTCAATTACTTTCCAGTAATTTCCTTCTTCAAACGTGATTACAAGTATCAATCCATGTATTTACCATATCATGTTTCTATTACTATTCTATTATTTTCCCATCTTACACATTTATAAATCTACCATTAATATGCGAATTAAATACTGCCGTCACATGTGGTCTTGTGCTTCTGTTATGGATTTAGAGATGCTTGATAAAATACAAAGAAAAATATACAATATTATTGGTCTTGACCTGGCATCTTGGCTTCAGTCACTTTTTCACCGCCGTCATGTAGCTTTCATGGCCATCCTCATAAGGACGCATTCCAAAAGCTGAGCAGAGTATTGTGAAACAGGAGGATTTCTTTGCTAACAAAAAAAGGAGTACTGAGCTGCTAGAGACATCTGTCCTCCTTTACAGCGAATGTTGGACGCTCTCCTTAAAGATGAAGAAGAGGCAACGGAGATATGGTTCTACAGAAGGATGCTAAGGATATCATGGTGGGTGGGTTATGGTATTGATATCAGTTATTAAGGGACTCAAAGTCTAATTACAAGCATCTTATAATCCTGCTTGTCCGTACCTTAGTTCCTTACTTAACACATATGTTACATCCTTCCAGTATCTCATAAATAGTGACTTATTGTTTGGATTGTGTGGAAAAACGGAAAAGACATAGAAACGACGCTACATGTTTTTAACACGTTTCAATGATATGGAAAATTTTTTAAATCTTTTCATTTATACTCCCTTACTTCTTTAAACAACAACAACAAAAACTCGCATTCATATTTAATAATTCTTATTGCAATATTTTGTTAAAGTTGTTAAGCTCAAATAACTATGTGATAGGGAAATTTCTAAGGATAATTTTACTGTCGTAAAACTCGCCATGCGTTAATTTAATCATTAACTTAAGAATTAAGATTCATCAGAAAATTCATGAAAACTATTTTTAACAGTGTGACTTACTTCTACTGGTCTGTTCATTCAAGAAACCTTTTTAAAAAAATGTGCTTTCTAGCAGATTACTTTCTGTTTAAGAAGACTCTCGAATATGCAGGCTGGTAGACGTAATTCAAATAATAAACCTTAACCATGTTCATATCTATATTTTTAACAAATATCTGTTAATCGATTCTGTTAAAATTTAATTATTATTTTTTAATATCGGTGCTTTTTTAAAAATTTTGTTTGGCCCACATTTGTTAAAAATTCAGATTGAATCTATTGTTTTCAGTTGGTAGATTTCATGATGAAACAAAAACGCGTTCATTATGATTAATACAAGTCACCCTCTCCTTAAATTGTGTGTATTTCAAAGTAAATTAAATCGCTATTTTGTGAGAGAGTTTATTCTTGTCGAATGGAAATTACGGTAACGGTCAGTGAATCTTTGGAACAGATTGAACACAAGAAAATAATATTTCAAAGACTAAATAAAATGGTATTATGCAAAACAATCGTTTTAGACTTTATAATTAAG